GGTAGATCATGTAGCAGGCTACTGACTCATGTACCTGTGAATTCCAAAGTCTGCAAGTCAGACAGCAGACTGCTAGCTCACATCCCAAGAACCGAAGATCAGAGGATGAGGAGCTGGATACAGGATCAAAAGAGCTTTCCACAAACTTTTTTAAAGCCCTTGTGTATGATCTGCAAATAGAGAAAATTTTACATCTTTTCCAGACTGGATCTTGTATTTATTTGTCTTGTCTTATTACTCTCTCGGACTTCTAATGCTTAACTTGTTCCTTATTTTAGTGAGAAAGCTCTGTCTTTCTCCATTAAGTATTATGTTGGCTATTGACTTTTCATATTTGACCTGAATCATAATAAGGAATTTCCCTTTTTTCCAGTCTTTTTCAGTGTTTTCATCAAGAAAAGGTGTTGGATTTTATCAAGTGTTTTTATGCATCCATAGAGATGATTATGGGGTTCTTTTCCATTGTTCTGTTGATACGGTGTATTATGGTGGTTGATTTTCTAATAATGAACTATTCCCACATTCCTGGAATGAATCCCACTTGGTCATGATGTGGTGGTGGTGGTGGTGTGCTGTGGAGTTGGTTCTGACTCATAGCGACCCTGTACAGGATTTCCGTAAATCTTTACGGAAGCAGTTAGCCTCATCTTTCTCCTGTCAAACAGCTGGTAGTTTCGAACTGCTGACCTAGAATTTTGCAGCCCAATTCGTAACCACTACACTACCAGAGCTCCTGATGTGTAACTCTTTTAATATGGTGTTAGATTCTGTTTATTAGTATTTTGTTGAAGGTTTTTACATCTATATTCATAAGAGATATTGGCATGTAGTTTTCTTTTCTTGTGGTATCTTTGTCTGGTGTTGATGTTTTCTTCAAGAATAAATCAGGTACTCTTCTTCCTTTTCTACCTTTTGGAAGAGTTTAAACAGTATTGGTGTCAATTCTTCTTTAAATATTTGTAGAATTCCTCAGTGAAGCCATCTGGTCCGTGACTTTTTTCCATTTTTTTTTCGGTTGGGAAGGTTATGATCCCTGATTTGCTATAGGTCTGTTTGGGTAGATTGTGTGCTTCTAAAAATTTGTCCATTTCATCTAGTTTATCCAGTTTGTTGACATAATACTCTGTCATATTTCTACTGTATTCCTGTCAGGTCAGTTGTAATGTCACTTCTTTCACTTTTTATTTTGGTTATTTTCATGTTTGTCAGTGTAGCTAAAGGTTTATCAACTGTATTGGTCTTTTCAAAGAACCAACTTAGGCTTTATCAATTATTTTTGTTTTTTTCTGCTCAGGTCTTCATTATTTCCTTACTTCTGGTACGTTTAGCATAGTTTGCTCTTCTTTCTGGTTCTTGTTCAGTTAGCCTGTTAATTTGAGTTTGTTCTCTTTCTACGTAGGCATCTAAGCTTCCCCTCTGAGAACTGCCTTCACTACATCCCATAAGTTATGGTATATTGTGCTTTCGTTTTCAATTGACTCTAACAATTTGTGATTTCTCTTTAGATTTTTTTTCCTTGACCCATTAAATAGTTTAATTATGTGTTGTGTTATGGTCCCTTGTGGTCAGAGGAAATACTTTATATGGTTTCAGTCTTTTAAAATGTATCAAGATTTGTTTTGCGACCTAAATTGTGTTCTATCCTGGAGAATGATTCATGTGCCCTGGAGTAGAATACATATTGTGCTGTTTGGGGGTGTAGTGTTCTGTCTGTGTGTTAAGTCTAGTTAGGGTGTAGTGTTATTTAGGCCCTCTGTTTCCTTGTTTTTCTTTATTCTAGATGTTCTGTCCAGTATTAAGGTATTATTCAGGTCCTCTGTTTCCTTGTTTTTCTTCTTTTTAGATGTTCTGTCCAGTATTAAAAGTGGTGTATTGACATCTCCAACTAATACTGTATTACGATTTCTTCTTTCAGTTCTATCAGTGTTGGCTTTATATATTTTGGTGGCTCAGTGTTGGATACATAGATATTTATGACTTAATCTTCTTGATTAATTGGCCCTTTTATCGCTATATAATATCCATCTTTATCTCTTCTGACAAGTTTTGACTTAGAGTCTTCATATTTTTTCCATCCTTTCACGTCCCATTCTATTTCATTTGTGTCCTTGGGTTTAAAGTATGTCTCTTGTAAACAGCATATATAGATGTACCTCACTTAATTGCACCTCACAGGTACAGCGTTTTTTACAAATCAAAGTTTTGCATTGAGCAAGTCTATGGTGCCATTTTTCCAACAATTTGTGCTCACTTTGTGTCCCTGTGTAACGGTCAGTAATTCTTGCAATATTAACGTTTTTCATAATGTTTTTGTTTTGTTGGTTTCTTGTAGTGAACTTTTTACTTCCCTTCTTTCCTTTGGTGTTTTTTTTTTTTTTTTTTAATACAAGAGAGCTTCAAAAAGCTCATGGAAAAATAGAAATTTTCCACAAATGTTTTGAAGCCCCCCATATATTTTCTTAGTGTGAGGGTCGCTATGGGTCGGAACCGACTCGACGGCACTTAACAACAAACAACAACAACCATGAGTATGTATTACATTTAAGGGCTTGTATTTATAACATCCTAGGATGGGCTGGTACCAACTTTACTTGAGACATGCAAGAAATTCTTTATCCATACCATTCCTCCCCACTCCTTTTATTGGTCTTATTGATTCTATCTTTATATTTCATGTCTCCTGTAACATAATTTTATCTTTGTCTTATATTTGTTACTGGGAAAAAAAAAAAAATATATGAGGGACAAAAAATTTAGAATTAACCAGCATGAATACCTTATTACTAGTCCTAATGCTTGCCCATTGGGGTCCTAGTATGGTGCTGTAGGATAAGCACTGTACTGCTAACTGCAAGGTCAGCAGTTCAAACCCACTAGCCACTCCTTGGAAACCCTTTTTTTAAAATGTTTTATTATGAATTATATGATAGTTTACATGGGAGAACTTTAGTTTTACATTCATTTCATCATACATCATCTCACTGCCATGGTTCCAATCCCCTCCATGTATCATCAACCACCCATAGGGTATATCCCAGACCCCCCCACCACCCCCACCCCCCAGTTTTAGGCCCACAGTCCCTTTCCCTCTCTGGGTCCAAAGTCCCTAGTCGCTTCATCACTCCACGTCATCGTCTCTGTCTCTATCTCAGGCATCTCTGTCCTTGGAAACCCTTTATAGAGTCATTGTGAGTCAGAATTGACTCAACAACACTTGACAACAACAGCAGCAGTATACTTGCCAGTGCATCATTTCCTTTTATGAAATTCTCTTAGTTTCTGTTAGTCTGAGAATTTAAAATTTTTGCCTTCATTCTTGAAGGATAATCTAACTGGGTATAATATATTCTTGGTTGGCAGTTTTGTTTTGTTTGTTTGTTCTTTTGGCGCTTTCATTATTTTACTGCATCTGGCCTACAGTGTTTTCTGAGGATAAGTTAGTACTTAGTCTTATTAGGAATCGTTTGTGTCTGTGCTTCTGTTTCACCGCTTTCAGGATTCTCTCTTTATCTTTTAATTTTCAAGAACCTAACTATGATGTCTCTTGATATAAATCTCTTTATTTTTTTTTAATCCTGCTTGGGTTCTTCAAGCTTTTTGAATTCATAGATACATGTCCTTCATTAAATGGGGAAACTTTCTTGGCATTATGTCTTCAAATATTCGTTCTGTCCCTTTCTATCGTCTCCTTCGTGGATTCTCATAATGTGTATAGTAGGTCTCTAGTAGTTTAATTACATTAAACTGTGCTCAGTTTTCTTGAGCCTCCATTCTTGTTGCTCTTCAGTGTATGATTTTAACTTTTTATCCTTTAACTCACTGAGTCTTTCTGTTGCTTGATTACATCTGTTGGTAAGTCCTTCTAATTTCCTTTCCCTGCCAGCCAGTTGCGATCTAGATCACTGACATTAGGACTGATATAGGGGAGGTTGGAAAGAGGAGAAGAAAGGCTTTAGGTAACCACTGACTACCATTTTAAGGCATGCCACAGTCAAAAGAAATGATTTAGGGGTAACAGTGTGAATACTAGAATGCATAAGACTTTGTGTTATATTTTCTTCTTAGATGGGGCTCTCAGAACATAAAGACCCTAAATGCTGTTAGTAACCACTGCAGGGTAATGATTGAATTATTGCCATCTGCTCTGGGTTCTTCACCTTTTCACCCAAGAACATCCCACCTCTTTCAGCCCTGGGGGTTTCTAGATCATTTGACTAGCATGTTATTTCATTGAGATGGGGGTTACATCTTTGAATTGAACAATGTGGAAGCCAGTGTGGAGTCCTGGGGGAATGGGTTTTGAAACCTAATGCCTCTAACCAGTCTTACACAACCCCTCTGATCTTTGAAAGGAAGAAAAGGCTAGAGTTTGATATGATTTGCAGAATATATTGGCACCATGCGACTCTTATTTGTTTTCCAAGTTTCTTACAGCCATCAACAAATTAGTCCTTACTGTGATTAATGATGAAGGAGCTCTGGCAGCATCGTGGTTACAAATCAGACTGCTAACCTCAAGGTCAGCAGCTTGAAACTACCAGCTGTTCTGCGGGAGAAAGACAGGGAGAAAGATGAGGCTTTCTGCTCCCGTAAAGGTTTACAGTCTTGGAAACCCTGTATAGGGTCGCTATGAGTCGGAACCGACTCCATGACACATAACAACAACAACGCTTAATGATCTTAGTGGTGATATCTGGGTGTGGTTGATTAGAAAATAGATGAGGAGAAGTGACTGTCAAGATGTCAGAGCAAATCAGTCTTGAAGTCCAGCAAGGGAATTCAGGACTATCTGTAAATTACCTTTCTTCTTCTTTCAAAATTAGTCTCGGTATCCTGATTGCAATCCTTAGAAAAAACAATTTAGCTTCTTTTCTGCAGCAAGAAGCCTTTATGAAACATAACCATTCTCAAGCTAGTTTATAGGAAATTTTATTATAGTTTTTCAAAACAGCTCCCTTTAATCTGTCTCCTCCCTCCTTGTGCTTAACATTTCCTTTCAGAACCTGAGCTGGCTTGAAGAGAAAGAAAAGGAAGTTGTCAGTGCCTTGCGCTACTTTAAGACCATCGTGGACAAAATGGCAATTGATAAGAAGGTATTGGAGATGCTTCCAGGGTCAGCCAGCAAGGTGCTGGAGGCCATCCTACCCCTGGTGCAGAGTGAGCCTAGGATTCAACACAGGTGAGTTTCTTTGTAAGCTGTGGTTGGGTCACAGCAAGGGATGGCCTAGAGGCATATCGTTTTAGTGGGGGTCACTTCAAAGATTTAGGAACAGGGAATTTCAGGAGGAAAAGGAGTTTCTTCCCCTAGGCTATCACTTGGATATCCTAAATCAAGGTCGGGTTATTCATGATCCGCTCAGCATTGACTTAAAAGATCCCCAGGGCTATCTGTGGTTCATTAGCTCATTAGCAGCGATCACATTGATTTAGGCACATTTCTCCTAGCACCCTCAATCATGGAACATTTAACTGTGGTTTATTAATGACATTAAGTCCTATTGCCATCTAGCCTGTTAAGAGACCTCTATTACTCAAGCCAAAATAGGTAGAGAAGAACCCATTCGAGTGTGGATTAGTGAAACATTTAACTGTGCCAGCCAAGATCTCCCAAACCATAGCACCTGGACTAATCGGAAACTCCCAAGAAGTTTTCTGCTTTTATTGCTTGTTCTTGTTGTTGTTAAGTGCCGTTGAGTCGTGTCCGACCCATAGCGACCCTGTACAGGGTTTCCGAGGGTGTAAATCTTTACGGGAGTAGAAAGCCTGATCTTTCTCCCGCGGAGCAGCTGGTAGTTTCGAACCGCTGACCTTAAGGTTCGCAGCCCGATTCGTAACCACTACGCTAGAGTGTACTTTTCTCTCAAAAGGTTGTGTGAGCAGCTGCCCTCATGTTTATTATTAAATACAGAAAGAAAAGCATGTTAAATGTTATCTTAAATCAAAGCCTAGCAGGACTATTTCTTGGGAAGCTGTCAGATTCCTCCTGGCTTTTTGTTTTTTTTATGTGGTACCTGCTCAGGATAAATGCATCTCTGTTTTGATTCCTCGCGATGCCTTAGTGTTCATTTAGTCCCATGAGGCCTAAGTTTTTAAGATCTGCTTCCAGAACTTGGCAAATAAGTGTATATTTTTCTTCTTCAGGAAGATAAAGCAAACAGTGTCTTTATTTCCAAGAAGCTGTCTGCCCTGTGCTTCTTCCTTGGAGTTCCAGCTGACCCCCCTGTAGATTGTGATCCTTTAGTTAGAAGCTTACTGGAGCTAGTTGGTAGTGGGAGGGGTTTGATAAAGGCCCTGCTACTGTTTTCAGTTTTTCTGTGCCATGCTGCTGTCCTGTGGGAAAAGCCACTGAGGCAACAAGACTCTTTAATTCCCTGTTCAATGGTCTCAGAGCCTTGAAACCAAGTCCTACATCTGAAACTTTCACCAGGCCAGGAGAGCTCAGTGCTGGTTTCCTTTGAGTTAGTGTGCCCAACACTATGCTAGTTAGCTGGGCAGCATGTACAGGCATTTGCTCACGTATTTTTTTGACAAATGCTCTCTTACATCCCTTCTCATAGGAACTTTGGTAGCATAGTGGGTTGCAAGTTGGGCTGCTAACAAGTAGAGGATTCCCCTTCACTTTATTGCAAGGTCTTCAGTTCAAATCTACCAGCGGTTCTGCAGGAGAAAGATAAGACTTTTTGCCCCCTTAAAGATTTACAGCCTTGGAACCTCTATAAAGGTTCCCTATGAGTTGAAACTGACTCAATGACACATAACCACTACCACCACCACCCTTTCTCATGTGATGGTCCCTACCATGTTGTTGATGTTGTTAAGTTCCGTTGAGTCGGTTCCAACCCATAGTGACCCTGTATAGGGTTTCCAAGGAGTGACTGGTGGGGTGTGAACTGCCATAGAGGGTTAAAATATAGTGGAAAAAACCCAACCCTGTTGTACACATAATGAGAAAATTCTAAATTTGTGGCACAGAGTAGTAGAAGCTCTATTGGAATTCCAAGAAGGAAGAGTTACAAGAGAGTTGGAGGGTACTTCTTGGAGGACGAGGAACTGGGACTGGATCTGACGGAAGGGTATGAATTGGTTTGGCAGTGGACACAGTGGAAATAACAAAAGAGCAGAGGCCAACCAGGCACGGTGTGCTCATAGGAAAGAGATCTCTGAGCAGCCATGCAAACAAAAGAGTATGTGAACACTGGGGTATTGACAAGTGGGGTGCGCCCAGTGAGAAATGAGGAAAGGTCACCTCAGACAACCATTCTCAGGGGCTAAACTTCTTTGGGAGCCTCCAGGCAAAAGTAACTTTAGCTAAAACCCGTGTTACTGTGTGTCTCTAGTAGGATTGTTGCTTTATTGCTTCTTGCTTGAGAACTTATCTTCTATACATGTAAACACTGCATAAGAGTTTGTTTTGTTTTGTTTTCTGTCTCTCCGGAGCTTTTGTTACAAACCCTTTCCTCTTCAAAAAAAATTTTTTTTTTTAAACTCTGTTGTCAAGTTGATTTCAACTCATAATCACCCTGTAGGACAGAGTAGAACTGCCCCCATAGGGGTTCCAAGGCTGTAAACCACTGTGGTAGCTGAATGCTAGATCTTTCTGCTGCATAGCAGCTGGCTTTTCTGTTACCAGGTGAGCACTTAACATCTGCCATCAAGGCTCCTTGATTTTAATGTGGTGGTGATGGTAGTGTGCCACCCAGTCTGTTCCGATTCATAGTGACCCTGTATAGGGTTTCCGAGGCTGTAAATCTTCATGGGAGCAGACAGCCTCATTTTTCTCCTGCAGTGCAACTGGTAGATCCTAACTACTGACCTTGCAGTTAGCAGCCCAGCTCATAATCCACTACGCTACCAAGGCTCCTTTGGTTTTGTTATAGTTGACAAATTATTCAAAGTCTACAACCATTTCCTAGAGGGAAAAAGAGAAGTGCTAGATGTAGCCATAAGGAACATTTTTTTTTCCTCATAATCTTTTGGCTAATACCATTTAATGGATTTTTCCTTCTGAAAATCTGCCAACGCCAGTGTGATATTTTTATTGATCTCCCTGAGACAATTGGAAATATCTCCTTAAATATTTCTTTTAGATTCTTTCTAGCATCTCATTTTTCCCCCTAGTGCAGTTGGTGAGCCAGGGGAAATTTTTTCCTGATTTCTGCACATAGTCTCTTCTGTGAGTTGGGTCCTAGCAGGCAGGCTCTTTACCACCCTCTCCTAGGTTTCTGGGACTGTCATGGCCTTTGAATAAACAGTGAGCCACAAGTGGAGGATTCCCCTTCTGTATAATGGCATGCCCAGAGAGCAGGATCAGGGCTTGCCTTCAATGTAGATTGCTCTGCTCCATCTCAGAAATAGGCCACTGATGGTCCACTGGTGACATATTCATAGCATAGGTCCCTTCCTTCCTCTCTTAGTCTCTTAGTGCCTTGACCCAGAGGACTATTCCACCTCCAAGCTAATCCTATAAAACATAGACATAATTGCCAGACTCTAGGTGCTTTCAGGAAAGCATTGCCCACCCCCACCCTAAAAGAGCAAACGCATTGCCGTCTAGTTGCTTTGAACTTGCAGGGACCCTATAAGATGGACTAGGACTGCCCCATAGGATTTTCAAAACTAATCTTTACGGAAGCCAACGGTCACATCTTTCTCATGTTGAGCATCTGGTGGGTTTGAACTTTTAACCACAGTGCCATTGGACTCCCTTTACCACCAAGAGTAGATAGAAATGAAGTATCATTATGGGAAGTATTACCCCTTCTCATCTAATCATTGCCTATAGTTTCAGTGTGATGCTTTGATGGGTCCCCTTTACAGACACACTAGTGAAAGTGTTTAAAGACACTGGGCTGACTTCCACAGAAAGGAGAGAGGGAAACCTAGCTGTAAGAAGTGCTTTCCTCTTCTGGAAGCTCCGCACAAAGTCTGATAGCCAGGAACAAAGTTCTTGTTCTTAATTCTCCTTTCCTAAACACCAAATACTTTTCATTCATATTATTCCCTGAAGCAGCCAAACCTTGACTTCCTCGGCACTCCTTTTGCAAATGTCTCTTGTTCTTAATAGGATTTGAAAAGTTTGCTTGCAGCCTCTGACTCTAATTTTTGCCTGTTAGAACAAGCAGAGTGGAATGACAGGCTAAATGGAAATTTTAAGTTTCTGGGAAAAAATTACATTCCTCCTTACCTGATTCTGAAGGCTTCTTATTGCATTGTTGTTTCATTAGGGTTTATGTTTTAAATGGCTTTATTTTATAACTCTATTAATTATATCTCACCTCAAAATTGTATCTGCAGTTCCTAAATACCTGCCTCATTCTTTTCTATTTTTCTTTTGAGATACTTCAGGAAGGAGTAGAAGAAGAGCAACACAAATGATCCATATTTTTCTTCTTTTTTCTGTTGTAATGCATAATGTTCAAAATGGAGAAATAATTCTTTCCAGAATTCTGAGAGAAAGTATCTTTAGTTATTTAAAAAAGTGTGGGAAATGTAAGAATTCTTTGTTTTAGCCACTATGTACAATTATTGCAGCACCCTCGAAAGTCCTCAAGAATTCTGTTTTATATGTACGAGCAGTACAGTATAGCTGCTACCTTAACCCTTTTGTGACCTGTGGGACATATACAGCCCACCAACATTTTGAGCCGCTTAGGTGTCTTAGAAGCTACTGTCCTAGTTTTAGGATGTGTTATTGCCTGGCAGGGACCTGGGTAACTACGTGAATCTGAAGAAACTAGCCTCATCCTGTCCATTTTACCACCAGAGTCCACTTGGAGTATACATGCCCCTACATAATTGTATCAAAATCCGTGTCTTCCCTTGATTTCAGCATGCCTTCCATTACTGAAAATACACAGTATAAACAAACAAAAAAATTCAAAGCAGAAACTAACTCAGTCATGAAAGGATTAACACACCTCCTTTTCTCCTTGTACCAGCCCTACACCCCAGCATGGTACCCACCACCACCATCACCACAAGACCCCTCACCTATGGTTTCTTAATCGTGAGGTAATCTTCGTCAGTGCTCACAGCTCAGCCATGGTTATACTGTAGATGGTGAGGATGCTAAGTCCACATTAGGGGAATTCTAATAAATTATAGATCTGGTTGTTCCTTTAAAGGAAGCTGCCTGCTAAAATTCACAAACCTATCGGCTTCTCATTGCATGTTTAAATAGATTTCAGTGTAATTCAAAACAAGAAGTGCAGATATTGGGGCACTCCCTGAGAGAGATTGTCAGATGTTGTGGAGAGATGTGAAGTTTGAGAAAGTATATTAAGCTTTGATGGAATTTATGCATACTGTGTTTGGGAAATGAGTTTAAAAACTATAACACGGACTAGACTGTAAAGCTCTACAGATACTCTTGGATAGATTTAAGGAGATAGATTCAGGGAAGAAAATGTTCATTTACTAAAAGGAGGTGTTAGTTTTTAAAAGAGATTGAGAACTCACTGTAATAATAGAACATAATTCTGCGCTAGTGGATATCTTAAAATAATGGTCATGCTTTAGATTTTATTTATTACTATTATTTAAACATTCATATTAAGAATCTTTTCTTCCTTCTAGCTCAGCCCTGTCCTCCTGCTATAGCCGAGTTTACCAAAGTCTTGCCAACCTCATTCGTTGGTCTGACCAAGTGATGCTAGAAGGTGTGAACTCAGAAGATAAAGAGATGGTGACAACTGTGAAGGGGGTCATCAAAGCTGTACTGGATGGAGTGAAGGTACCATGCATGGGTCCCAGGCAGCCCTAGTCCTCTTTACTGCATGCTTATTACATTGAAAAGTTGTTTTTCCACTTAATGCGTTAGAATGAGTGTCTTCCAGGTGTTCTGGAATAGTGTATGAATCAATCCGAAAGCTACATTAATTCTCTCAGGACTGGTACAAAAGGCTCCTATAGCAATACAAGTCTTTGGAGTACTTGTCCCTATTGTTGGAACTTTTGCTAAAAGCAATCAGCCTTTATTGAGCTTTGTATTAAATTTTCAGTGAGTCTTTACATCACAGCTCTGACTGTGCATGCTTGCCAGCTAGACAAAATTTAATGGGAATTGTGTTTGCATTGACAGTTAAGCAAAACTCCCAGCATGTAAGCTATTGTTCAGGGAGTCTTGTTTTAAAGAAAAAAGTATGATTAATGAGTAACAAATGAAATCATATTTACTTGGTTTTGTATCTGGTGTATAGTCTGTATACATGCTACCCAGGGCAGTTAGAAATCATATAATAGGAAATGAATCATAGTTAAGGAGGGAAATTAAGACCCTAGAAAGTCTGAAACTTGGGTCCAAGAGACAGGATGAAATCCTAAATGAGAAGCTATGGCATGGAGGCTAAGGAGAAAGGCAGGAAGTGGGGCATGAAATGGGTGTGGTTCAGGGTAGGGCTGTGAACAATGGGTAAGTGGAAAGCTTGATGTTCTGGGAGCCTATAGGTTACAGAGAAAAGAGGCTTTGAGGCCCTGCTAGGTTTTAATCCCAAATCCACCACAAAAAAATCTGTGACCTTGGGCAATGTACTAAACTGCTCTTTATGTTAGTTATGTTGTTTTCGTTGTTGTTAGGTGCCATGAGTCAGCGTCGACTCCTATCGACCCGTATATATACAACAGAACAAAATACTGCCTGGTCCTGCGCCATCCTCACAATTGTTATGCTTGAGCCCATTGTTGTCATCTCCTTGGAGTCTTCTTCTTTTTTGCTGACTTTACCAAGCATGATGTCATTCTCTGGGGACTGGTCCCTCCTAATAGCATGTCCAAAGTATGAGAGTCGAAGTCTTGTCATCCTGCCTTACAAGGTGTATTCTGACTGTACTTCCAATACAGATTTATTTGTTCTTCTGGCAATCCATGGTACTTCCAATATTCTTCTCCAACACCATAATTCAAATTAATAAATTCTTCTCTGGTCATCCTTATTCATTGTTCAGCTTCCACATGTATATATAAGGCAATTGAAAATACCATGGGTTGGATCAAGCGCATCTTAGTCTTTAAATTGACAACTGTGCTCTTTAACACTTTAAAAAGATCTTTTGCAGCACATTTGCTTAAAGCAATATGATATCTGATTTCTTGACTGCTGTTTCCATGAATGTTGTTTGTGGATCTAAGTAAAATGAAATCCTGGACTACTTCAGTCTTTTCTCCATTTATTATGGTGTTTTTTTATTGGTGCAATTTTCTTTATATTGTGTTGTAATACATACTGAAGGCTGTAATCCTTGATCTGCATCAGCAAGTAAGTGCTTCAAGTCATTTTTGCTGTCAGCAAGCAACATTGTGTCATCTGTGTAGTTTATCTTTAAAATTTTACTTGCATGTGATATTAATGATACTGTTCAATAATTTTTGCATTCTATTGGGTCACCTTTCTTTGCAGTAGGCACAACTAGGATGTCTTCCAGTTGGCTAGCCAGGTAGCTAGCTGTGTTTCACATTTCTGGCATAGGCTTGTGAGTGCTCCCAGTGTGGCATCATTTTGTTGGTATTCCTGGAGCCTTATTTTTTGTTAATGCCTCAGTGCAGCTTGGACTTCTTCCTTCAATACTATGAGTTCTTGATTATATGCTACCTCCTGAAATGGTTGAACATCAACCAGTGCATTTTGATACAGTGATTTGGTATATTCCTTTTATCTTTTTTTTGAGATTTCCTGCATCATTAAATATTTTGCCCATGTTGTCGTTCAGTACCATTTAGTCGGTTCTGACTCATAGTAACTCTGTATAGGGTTTTCAAGGAGCGGCTGGTGAGTTTGAACTGTTGACATTGTGGTTCAAACTGACCTTGAGATCAAGTGCTTATCCTAGAGTGCCATACCAGTATTGTATGTTGAGTCTTGAGTTTTTCTTCAGTTTTTTCACCTTGAGAAATGCCGAGTGTGTTCTTCCCTTTTGGTTTTCGAGCTACAAGTGTTCGCATGTTTCATTATAATACTTTATTTTGGCTTCTTGAGCTACCCTTAAAATTTTTCTTTTTTAGCTCTTTTACTTCATCGTTTCTTCCATTCACCTGAGCTACTCTACATTCAATAGCAAGTTTCACAGAGTCTCTTCTGACATCAGCTTTTATCTTTTTTTTCCCCTTTCCTATATTGTTAATGACCTTTTGCTTTTTTCATGTATGTTGTTCTTGATGTCATCCCACAACTCTCTGGTCTTTAGTCATTAGTGTTCAGTGTGTTCTTGAGATAGTCTCTAAATTCAGGTGGGATAAACTTTGACTGTTGAGGACTTGTTTTAATTTTTGTCAGCTTTACTCCGTGCTTGCATATGAGCAATTAATAGTCTGTTCCAAGTTTGTCCCTGGCCTTGTTTTGGCTGATATACTGAGTTTTTTCATGTAGTTATTTGATTCATCTGTATTCCATCTGGTGACGTCTACATAAGTAGTCAACATTTATGCTGTTATAAAAAGATATTTGCAATGAAGAGGTCCTTGGTCTTGCAAAATTCTATCATGTGATCTCCAGCATCATTTGTATTTCCAAGACCATATTTTCCAACTCCTGGTCCTTCCTCTTTGTTTTAATTTTTTTTTTTTCTTTCATTTTAATCACCAGTAATTATCAGTGAAGCTTTCTTGCACGTGTGATCAACCTGAAATTGAAGAACTTGGCAGAGTTCTTCAGTTTCACCATCACTGGCTGTGATGGTTGGTGCACAAATTTGAATAATTTATTAATTGGTCTTCTTATAGGCATATAGACATTATCCTATCACAGACAGCATACTTCAAGACAGATCTATTAAATGTTCATTTTGATGATGAATGTGACACTACTCCTTTTCAGTTTGTCATTCCCGGCATAGTAAATTGTCTAATAAAAATGGCCTATACCTGTCCATTTTAGCTCACTAATACCTAGGATATCAATATTTGTGTGTTACATTTCATTTTTGACAACTTCTAGTTTTTACAGTTTCATAATTTATACTTTTGAATTCTAATTATTTATGGATATTTGCAGCTACTTCTTCTCATATTAAGTTGTAACCCATCAAGAAACAAAGGTCCTGAAAGCTTTGGTTCATCCACATAATTAAGGTCAACTGTACTTTGAGGAGGTATTTCTTCCTCTTTCATATTTTGAGTGTCTTCCAACCTTAAGGGTTCATTTTTCAGCACTTATTAGACACTGTTTTACTGCTGTTCATAAGGTTTTCAGGGACTAATGGACCACCTGTTTCTTCTTTGTAGTCTGCTCTTAGTCTGGAAGCTCTGCTGAAACATGCCCAACATGGGTGACCCTGCTGGTATTTGAAACACCAGTTTCATAGCTTCTAACATCACAACAGCCCTCAAGCTACCGTAGTGCTACAAACTGAAAGATGTGTGGGGACATACACCTTAGTTAACTCCTCTATAAATTAGTACCTACATCATAGGGTTGTTGTTAGGATTAAATTAACTAATACTTACCAGGTTCTTAGAACAATGCATGGTGCATAATAAGCACTCAGACCTTAAGCTGTCTAATACTATGTGATGCTAAATACATAGGACTGCTATGAGCCAGCATCAACTTGATGGCTTTGGGTGGTTTAAATGCAGGCTTTGCAAACAGATCACTTGGCTTGGCAAAAGTTGTGTCTCCTTTCTTTCTAGACTCTTTAATCCAGAATTATAGCTGATGTGCGTATATTAGATCTAAGAAATATCACATTCCTGGAAGCTACCCCCTTAGATTGACATTTCCTAGTATCTCTGATCTCTTGTCAGTCAGAGTCAACTCAATGCAATGGGCTGTATAGTTCTGATGAGTAGAATTAAGACTCCAAAAGAGCAAAAATTACAGAGAATGATAACAATACATTGCTCCAGAAGTGTTGGCTTGAGAAATCTTATTGGCTCCCCACCTCCCGCACTGTTTTAAGTAGAGGCCGGATATGTCTGCCAGGAACTTTATTGAGTTATTTTAGAGGAAGGCCTCACTAAATGACATCAACATTTTCATCTGATAGATGCCATGTTCTCTTCATTCCAAAGAGTTATTAGATCCAACATAATCTATTCAGACTGGTGAGACCTGAAGGTGTAGCCCAGGGTAGCCGTTGTAATAAGAGCTTACATCACTTTACAGCCTTCAGAATGTAGTTACATATGCTCGCCCACATGATCCTCACAGTAGCTCTTTGAGGTTCAGCAGGGCAGAATGAGATAGTCCTGGGCCCCACTTCATCAGCATAGTCCATGCAGTTCTGGCTCTCCTACCCTGACTCTTCCTGTCCAGGCTTCTAGAAATGATATTATTGAAAAATATTATTTTTCAGGTGACATTGTTAGGGTTTCCCTCTTCCAAAGCTATTTTGATGAGATATTCAAAACAAGTTAGAATACCCCAAAGAGAAGAGATTGAGTTTCCACCCATGTAGCTGTATGACATTCTAAAGTAGATTTCCTTTATGGAATCCTTAGATTAAAGCACCACTATTGTGTGGTGTTGTACACAATACAACAACCACAAGGTCAGCAGTTCAAACCCAACTATGAGTCAGAACTGACTCAATAGCACTTAACAACAACAACAATATCAGTTGAAGGAGCCCCCTGGTATGATGCTTTAGGATAAGTACTGGACTGCTAACCACAAAGTCGGCGGTTCAAACCCACCAGCCGCTCCTTGGAAACCCTATACAGGGGTTGAGGGGAGTACGGTGGCTCTGTAGAATGAGCACTGGTATGATGCTTTAGGATAAGTACTGGACTGCTAACCAC